AAAAAAAAAAACAAAAAAACAAAAAAACAAAAAAAACGTAAGGCACTCAATCAATTTTTCCAATCAAACTATCTTTGTTGCACTGCGGAATTGTAGCAAGAAAATGGTCAAAGTTGTACAGATTTTTTTACCCTAAAAAAGTATTTAATATTCTATGAACATTTCTAGATATTGTTCTCTCCTTGTTATTAAATCGTGATCATGATATTGGAGGGCTGTAACTTTCTCTTAAAAAATAGATTGTGCAGGCCAACTGGATAGAAAAGAGAATGGAAATAACTTTTCAAAACCAACATTTCAGACAGGCTTTCTGAAACCGGATGTTACATTTGGGTCTGGTTTCCAGAATTGCTCAAACAATGACGTTGATATGTCAAATTCCATGTTCCAGACAGGTTCAGGTAAAGCGGTAAGCATATCTTCTGCAGGCCTGTATTTAATATTCTATGAACATTTCTAGATATTGTTCTCTCCTTGTTATTAAATCGTGATCATGATATTGGAGGGCTGTAACTTTCTCTTAAAAAATAGATTGTGCAGGCCAACTGGATAGAAAAGAGAATGGAAATAACTTTTCAAAACCAACATTTCAGACAGGCTTTCTGAAACCGGATGTTACATTTGGGTCTGGTTTCCAGAATTGCTCAAACAATGACGTTGATATGTCAAATTCCATGTTCCAGACAGGTTCAGGTAAAGCGGTAAGCATATCTTCTGCAGGCCTACACAGAGCAAAAGCAATGTTAGGTCTGGAAAAAAATTCCAATCACGAGAGTTTTGATGGCTTTGAACAGACAAGGAAGCACTTAACCGCAAGTCAGCTTCTTTGTTGTCAAAATTCATCTCCCTTAGAGATGGAGGACCCAGCTAACTTAGGTTTTAGTAGTGTTTCCAGAATAACCATATCTCCCTACATTGCAAAGTCTAATCCACTCAGAAGCGAATTTAAAGAATTCACTCCAGATTTTGTGGATGCTGCTAATAAACCTCCTCCAGTCAAGTTCCATACTGCAGGGGGAAGATCCATTTCAGTTTCTACAGATGCGCTGCAACGAGCAAGGAACCTGCTAGGAGATCCCGAGTTGGATTCTTTCTTATGTGAAGCAGATGTAGCTGATCCAGCAATTTCAATATTCGGAGACGGAAAAACTACTCATATTTCAAATGAAGAAAATTATCAGATGACTCCATTCTCATGTAATCGGCCATCAAATGGCAATAGTTTGTCAAAGAACTTTACATCCCCGCTAAGATCAATTTCATACCAAAAGCAGTTATCGGGCAGGCTGGAGACAATAGGTCCAGGGAATAACTTGATTAAAAAGTTTGATGCAGAGGCTAGGAATAACACTCTTATCAGGCCTTATAATGGTACCCATGTAAAGCCACTAAAAAATAAATTTCCTGCAGAAAGAGTGGATTGTTTGGAAAATGGAATTCATTCAAGGATAGATCCCACAAAAAGGTTATCAAATGGGCCACTGGCGGATATCTCAAACAGTAATGGCAGGGATGATATTGATAACAAGCAATGTTTCGGTGAAAAGAGAAGACTTGGAAGGATTAATTCTGTATCTCCATTCAAGAGACCCCGAACTTCCAAATTTGTCACGCCTCTTCATAAAAATGATTCATCTGTTCCTAATGGTAAACTGTCAAGCTCCGTAAATAACCTCTTGCTTGTTGAAACCTTTCTTCGGAATCTCTAAGGAACATATTTTCATTAGGTTTGTCCAGAGTAGCACCGAACGAATCCTGCAGCAAAGGAAGAGTTTCTATGCGATATCCGTTTCAGGTTCCTCGTGTGTACATGAAGGAATATATTTCACAGTCTTCATGTATCCAAAAGAAGGTATGATATACATCCAGATTATTTTTTCTTTTACTAACTACTTTTTCCTATGGCAATTGATTTGTACAAGAATGTACTACGACTTCAGTTGGAGGATTTGCCATTCAGTGTCAGAAAAATGAACCCTACTGCAGCTGGAAATTACACATTTCATTCTGAACCAGTTTCAGATTGCATTGGACCAGAAGCATTCATCCAGATGTTGTCTCAGTCTGGAGCTTCCCAGCAATATTTAACTAAAGAGTAATGTTGTAGTTGTCTATCTTGAACGTTGTTGAACTTATTTTGTATGCCGTACATATTCGGAATTGTTTTTAGGTATATTGTCCTGCAAGATGGTTTTTGATGTTACAGTATTTTGTACTGCCATCTGGATAGAAGTGCTATACATAGACTCCAATTGGCAACGATTAGATAAATTTGTTTGTGCTCAAAACTTGCGGAGTAATAAAATAAATTGATTACTTATTCATTGAATAACTTTTCCTGCTGGTTTTCTATCTATTATAATTTCCTTTGCCTTCTCACTAATCCTCCAGTCGATGTTATTATTTGATTCTTTTCTCCACCACAACTATAGGTGGGTTTCAAATCATTATAAGTGGATTGTCTGGAAACTTGCATCTTATGAGAGATGCTATCCTGCCAAGTTCTCTGGAACACTATTGACAGTCTCCAACGTGCTTGAAGAATTAAAATACAGGTACCTAAGTTTCACACTGCTATTCATTGTGGATAGAGCTTCAAGAATGTATTGGAAAATTCTCCATATCCCCGTGCAGGTATGAGAGAGAAGTAAATCATGGCCATCGATCTGCAATCAAGAAAATTTTAGATGGAGATGTGCCGCCTTCTTCAATGATGGTACTGTGCATTTCGTCTGTTGGTGAAAATGGGGACCCTAAGTTTGGACCTCAATCTGTTTTATCAGAGGGGGATGACAATGCTACAGTTGCAAAAATCGAATTAACCGACGGGTGGTGGGAAACTCTTCACGTTAATGCTTTTGCTATAACATTGTTGTCCAACATCTAACTCATTATTTCTCTAGGTATTCGGTGAAAGCACTACTTGATGAACTGCTATCTAAGAAGCTTGCTGCTGGGAAGCTGTTTCTGGGACAAAAGCTCAGGGTACGACATATTTTTTCAATATGTTTATGGTTAAGTTTTTTCTCCGACGATTTTCAGCACTTCCTACTGCTGACAGTTTCTGTTGTCATCTGAAGATCTGGGGAGCTAAATTATGTGGCTGGGTTGGGCCAATTTCACCTCTTGAGGTCACTGCCTGGTTCCAATTTTCAGCTTATTCTGGCTTGTCGATCTTTTTTAATTTAGGTGTTTATTAAGTTGTATTAAATTTGGTTTCAGGTATCACAAACAACTAGTATATTATTGCATATAAATGGAACATATAGATGTCATTGGGCTGAACGTTTAGGATTCTGTAAGTTCTTGCCACGCTATGATGCATTTTTTCATATATGCAATAATATCTTTCTGCAGCATATTTGTTGTTTCTTCTGCCTCAGGCCTTGGCTTACCATGTGCATAGGTAAAAGTGCCAGTGTTCCGTTAGCATTTAAATGCATAAAGGGTACTGGAGGGGCTGTTCCCAGTACTTTAGTTGGAGTTGAAAGGATATATCCAATTCTTTACAGGGAAAGGTAATCCTGATGATCATTTAAATATTTTTACTATTATATGCATGCTATGTTTTAGGGTCTGAAAGAATAATATCTAATCCAGGCTTAGTAATGGGGACTTTGTTGTGAGGTCCGTGAGGATGGAAGCTAAAGTGCAGCAATCATATAATCAGAGGTGATGCGCTACTTGCAAATGCAAACTGACCATAGATTGCTAACATTTCCCAGATGCATATTCAGTTTTGATTGTACCATGTGACTACACTCGATATCACTGTCCTGTTTCTTCTATTAGTTCTTGCTTTGTGATATACATTTTCTTGTTTTTTATTTTTATGATTTTAGAAATTTGTGCAAATTTCCCTTTTTTACACCCAAAAATTGGTCCTTAATCCGATTGAATAATTATATAAAGTATCATAAGTTAGAAGAAACATATATATGTTTTCTTGGATTCATTCTTTTTTTTTTGCTTGAATATGAATATGATGTGAAATAATGTGGCTAGCTGCAGATTAAAACTTGTTATGTCAAAAACTATGAAGCTTGGATATGGACATGGACAAGTAGTTGTCGAATATATAATTTTTCAGAAAAATAGGACATGGCTTGTAAATAGAAATTCTTTTAAACTACAGTTATATTTTTTTATCTTTATTTTTATACTAAATAATTTTTCAATAAAATTATATTCTTTCTTTGCTTTGATATTGAAGTAAGCAAATAAAATCTTTTGAATTTGAGAAATATCTATTAGTTTAATAAGATAACTTTAGGCTGTACTTTGTATAACTAGTGCCAATCAAATAAAAGTATATATCAATAAGCTTTTTATACGATAAATATGAAACAAATTTGACATAAAATTCTTTCAAATTTTCTTCATTATTGACTATTTTACCAAATGTTTTAACAGTTAATTCATTTTTCCTACTTTTGGATTTCAAAATTTTAAAAATTGCACTACTGTGTCCTTGATGTGTCTGGATACTGGATAGTGTCTCCTTGCACATCAAAATTTGAAACATACAGGACAAGCTGCGAGGCATGTAAAAATTTAAAAACATTATATTAGGACGTGCCATGTGGCACGTTATACACAACTACACGTATCTCACTTTGTCCAAGATGTATC